AAGGAAACACAGGAAGAGGTAGTTGTAGCTAAGTTTCTACTGGACATCTTTGGAAATGCTTCTGGGTTGCGATGCAACCTAGGAAAGAGCTCGCTTTCCCCTATTTTTTGTGAAGATCAGATTGCAGATTTTGGAAGCACACTCAATTGCCAAATACCTCGCCTTCCCATAAAATATTTAGGGCTGCCGCTCAGCTTTAAGAAGCTTCGTAAGGAGGATTTTCAAGGCTTCATCGACACATTGAGAAAGAGATTAGGACTCTGGCGCACAAGATTCCTCTACCAGAGTGGTCGTTTAATTTTAGTCCAAGCAGTGTTATCATTCATTCCAATTTTTCACTTAATGTCCCTTGACCCTCCCCCATGGGTGTTCAAGGCCATTGACAAAATCCGCAGAGCATTTCTTTGGAAAGGTACTGATGTGGTAAATGGCGGACACTTCTTGGTGAGCTGGAAACAAGTTTGTCGTCCGAAAGAGCATGGAGGACTAGGCATTCTGGACCTGAAGATCATGAACTCCGCACTTCGATTGCGGTGGGCTTGGAAGGCACGTACATCAAATAATTGTGCATGGAGCATCTTACTAAATCCTTTGGAAAATCATGAAATGCGTCTACTCAATGTTGTTGCTCATGTTGAGTTAGGCAACTGAAATAGATGTTTCTTCTGGACTGATAAGTGAATCAATGGCGCCACAGTAGAAGATATCACGCCAGAAGTTTTCAGTTCCGTGCCTCCAGTCGTTAGGGAGAGAAGAACAGTAGCAAAAGCAATGATTAGTGCAGTATGGATCAAGGACATAAAGGGGAAAATAAATATTCGCATTTTTCATCAGATCTTAACCTTATGGGAGGCGATCTCTGAAGTTCAAATCATACATGGTGCTGAAGACAAATGGTTCTGGTCGTGGAATTCTAAAGGTACCTACTCGGTGAAATCTGTTTATAAGGTACACTTCGCTGCATCAGTTATGTGTAATACTTCTCACATCATTTGGAAGGCTTGGGCTCCTTTAAAATGCAAGCTTCTCTGGTTGGTCGTCAAGGGGCGTGTCTGGACAGCGGACCGTCTAGCTAAGCGTGATTTGCCTCATAATGCTGCATGTTGTTTCTGCAATATTGCGCAAGAATCAGTTCATCATCCCTTCATGGGTTGTATTGTTCTGACCATCATTTGGAGTTTAGTGCTTCTTTGGGAAAATCTGAGAGACGCCATCCCTCAAAATGCTCCTGATTTCTGGGAGTGGTGGCAAGAGGCCAAAAATAGAGTCCATGGACCTAGAAGGAATTCCTTGAACACTATGGTACCACTAATTATATGGAGTATATGGAGGGAAAGAAATGGCAGAATTTTTTAAAACTCGCACACACCGCTTCAAGGAATCATCAATCAGATCAAGATTGACGTGATGCATTGGGCAGAAGCAAGTCTAGGTCGTTTTGTATTATTTTAGTTTCGTTCTATTTGAGGCTTTTGTAGACAGTTGTGGTGGTCAGGGTTTTTGGGTCTTTTTTGTTTGCTGAAGTTTAGATTGTCCTTCTTGTAACTCTGATGGACGTTGGTCATGTATTTCTCCTTCTGTCTTTAATATAATACATGCAGTCCTCCTGCATGGTTCGAAAAAAATGAACTCCCCTTGTCCCGAACGAGCCACACAGCCCCAAGCACCTCTTATCTCTTCAACATAAAAAGCAGCATCGAAATTTATTTTAACAAACCCTGCCTTCCCTTCGGTTTTCTCCAAACTTGAACTATAGCTGGCAATGTATGTGCCTGAATACTTTCTTCCTCAACATAGGAATTCGTCAACAGTTTCCTAACATAATACGCCACTCCAGCAGCCGGCTTAATCTTTTCTCCGTGATTAGCCTCATTCCGAACCTTCCACCACTCCCAGAGAAATACAAGCATCAGGTCACGCTTTTCAGGTTTCAGCGACCACGAGTGATCAAAAATAGCATCAGGATTTACACATTCCAGCAATACGAGCCTGACATCCTCAAGCTGCAATTCCCTCCATACTTGCTTTACCAACTTACACTTCAAGAACAAATGTCCCCCATCCTCATCCAGGCGCAAGCACATCGGACATCTAGTATCCAGGTCAACGTGTTTCCTCTTGATATTCATTCGCAAAAGCAACGACTTGTGTGACAGACGCCATAGGAACATACGAATGTTAGAAGGCAAGCTCAGACTCCAAAATCTATTCCATCTTTGTGAGGCCTGCAGCACTACGGTAGACGAGCTTGCATCCCTGTCCTTGCTTGCACCTCGCAACCTCGTTCCCAAGTGATATGCAGATTTCGTAGAGAATAAGCCTTTGGTGTCAGAATGCCACGCTACCAGATCGTCCATGCCACTATCAACAGCAATAGCAGGTATCTCTTTTGCATCTTCTTCACAGAACAGTTCTGTCACGAGCTCAACATCCCAGGTTTCCGTAATCGGGTCCATCAAATCGCTAAAACCCGGTCAATGAGTATATGGAGCAGAGTGTTACACTGAGGTCTACTTACAGCAGAAAAACAGAGAAATATTGAGCGGAAGCTATGATCGGCTAGGAAAAAAGAAAAGAAAGAAGAGAACGAAAGAAGAACAGAACTTTATACGTAGGAAAGGCCTGAGGCAGGGTGAACCGCTCTCGCCGTTGCTTTTTGTCTTGGTCGTTGATTGTCTTGGTCGCCTGATGGACCTCGCTCAGCAGCAGAAAGTCATCTCGCCCCTTGGGATGACCATCAAGCATAGGGCCTCCATTTACGCAGACGATGTTATCATCTTCATCAAACCTTTATTGCTGGACTTCAATGTTGTTTCACAGATCATGGATCTCTTTGGTAAAGCTACAGGCCTATGCACCAATATGGCCAAAAGTAAAATTCTTCCAATAAGATGTGATGGGTTTGATCTCACTCCTTTGCAAGCTACTATTGGTTGTCAAATTGCTAGCTTCCCTTGTACTTATTTGGGGATGCCCCTCTCGGATAAGCATCTGAAATTGACTGATTTCCAAGCGCTTCTGGATAAGCTCATCAAGAAAATTGTTGCATGGAAGGCACGTTGGATCTCCTCCTCTGTGTTGTTGGTTCTTGTCCGCTTTGTATTATCTGACATGCCCATCTTTTTGCTTCTTGTCGTGGAGCAGCCAAAGTGGGTTATTAAGCAGATTGACAAACTACGGCGTGCTTTCCTTTGGGTAGGAGCTGATGCTATCACTGGTGGTAAGTGCTTGGTGCGATGGTTGCAGGTTTGCTCACTGGTGCAGTTTGGTGGGCTCGGTATCCCTGATCTTCACAAGCAAGGTATTGCTCTAAAAGTAAGGTGGTTGTGGCTCAATCATAGAGAAACTGACAAGCCATGGCATGATCTTCCGATCCCCGTCGATAAGGAAGTCAAGGCTCTGTTTATTGCTAGCACTTGTTTCATCTTGGGGGATGGCACATCGGTTTCCTTTTGGCACGACCACTGGTTGAATGGGGGGGTTCCAGCTCTGGTCTTCCCAAATCTTTATAAGCACAGCAAGAAGAGGAAGATCACTGTTAATGAGGGCCTCACCAACAGTAAATGGATTTCTTTGATAAAGCACAACCCGGACGTGGATGTTCTCTCTGAATTTATCAACCTTTGGCATCGCACTCGGGTAGTTTTGCTGTCTGAAAGGGAGGATGTCCTAAACTGGAAATGGACTATGGATGGGAAGTACTATGCTAACTCTGCTTATCTGTATCAATTCTGGGGAAGGATTGAGTTCCCTTTCCAGGAGCTCATATGGCAAATTAAAATCCCCCCTAAAGTGCAATTCTTTGCCTGGTTGGTTGTACAAGGGAAGTGCCTGACGGCCGATAATCTCGCCAAAAGGGGTTGGCCTCATAATCCTCTGTGTCCCCTTTGCAGATTAGGAGGGGAGTCTGGCTCTCACCTGTTCACCTCTTGCCCTTTTGCTGCTGGGGTGTGGGGCTTCTGCTTAACCAAGTTCAGATTCCCATTTCAAAGTTTTCTGGAATGATGGATTTCCTCTCTTCAACAGACCACTACAAGCAGACGCAATGAGCTCTCATTTTTAATCATGATCATTTGTTGGCATATTTGGAAAGAGAGGAACAATAGGATTTTCATGGTAAGGTGCAGAACTTCCTGCAAATCTGTGATGGCATTCTTGATGAGTTAAGAACTTGGAGATATGCTGGTGTCAAAGGGGTGCAATGGACTAGAGAAGGTTGACCCCACTGTAGAGGGTTAACCTTGTAAACTCTGTGTACCGTCTCCCCATTAGATTCCGGTAATTCTTGTACATGTAAGACCTGTACTCTGGTGTTCTGCTTTTCTCTTAATGAATGAAATCAGCAAGGCTGTACTTCGTCAAAAAAAAGAACTTTATACATATTTGGTAACTCTCCTGTAGTTATGTTTAACCTTGAATGCAATTTATAGATTCGACAGCAATAGTCCCTTGGACTTGAAAAGTAATAAGAAAATGGCTAATCCAATAGCAAATTCCGCAGCTGGCACTGTTGAAACTAATGAAGCAAATGATTGACCCATGATATCACCCAAAGAAACGGAAATGGGCAAAATTGACGGAGTGCCAACAAGATCCAAAATGCAGCGGCAAAATTGCAGCCGAACACAAGATGGTCAGCCGTTTCGCTCAGAGGGAGAGATAATCAGCACAACATCCCCTTGTGTTGATCCTCCTACAAGCAGCCAGGCAAAGGGACGGCACCCTGCTCTTCCAGATGAACAAGGCGAAGCAGCACAGATGGTAGGTCTTTTTTTAGGCTCAAAACACTATGTTAAAGGCAGGCAGCAATGCCCATGACGGCTACCCTTGATTATTAAGCAGTTCTAAAATACTAATATCACTGGAGGAATTCATTGATACAGCACTAACTCGCGGGCTGCAAAACGGCACCGCTAATGCTGTCGAAGAGGTCATGTCATGCAATGCCATACATTTAGGCCATCAGGAGGTCCCCGGTTCTCGCCTCAACACACATACAATTACCTAACGTCATAATAATATTTTTATACCCAATACCGGGCGGGCAGGCCAGGTTACTTGCCGTAGATGCACAGGCCCACCTCGTAGCTCACCAGGAGCATTATTGCTGACAGGAAAAAGAGACAGAAGCCGCCGCGCAGCACCGCAGTCACTGTGTTGCAGCCACCACAGTGTATGCGGTTATCAGGCTGGAAACCTGTGGAGAAGACAAGCTCCATGTCTTCATCCTTCTGGAACGACCACTTGCCTTGTCGAGAAGCAACAGTTAAGCTTCCTATGCTGATTACTTCGGTAGACACGCTGATGGTGTTAGGGTGCACACCAGACAAGGATTTGCCTGGGAACTCTGCTGCAAAAGCAGGGGGAGCCGAGATTGAATCCAGCATCTTTACAAAACGCTTTCCCATGGAGCCATTCTTAGCCTGAGAATCTGTCAACACAATACCAAAACTTTTCAGTAATCTTCATTTACAGCTACAACATCCAAGTTAACATTGCCCTGATTAAGCACAACCAAAAGCTTGTTTTTCTTTGCAAGATGCACAAAATGATCTTGCTTAATCAGGGCAAGTAAATATAACTGCAAACGTCCCTCAGGGTGACATAGATAGAGATACTGGATCAATAGTTGAATAGGTACTAAAGAGCAAAACATAGCAAAGGATAGCTGGCCTGTTCTTTTCCATAATAACATTACCTGGTAAAACAACACAATTTAACTGGCCACCAGCTTCAGATAACCTAGCGGACGACGGGGCCCCAACTACAAAATTAGGTTCTACAACCTTTTGAGTTGGACTATATGTATAGCTGGGATTGTTGACCTGTAAAAGTAGAAAATTTGTGTGTGAGTACATCAATGATCTGCACAAGGTGCAGTGAGTTCATCTCTTACATGTAACTGGTAGCATACCTCTTGAGTAAGAACTGGCCCATTAAAGACATGGGAGCTGCTCCCAGCCGACTGCTGTACAGAGCACATCATATCATTAAATAAGTTATCGTCCATTGCATCATAGTATGGAATACCATCATCCAGTGTCTCGATACCAGATAGAATGGTTGCTGGGGAGCCAAGGAATTCATTCGTCTGTCTAAATCCATCACTGAACATTGAGTTATCAAAGGGTGCATCAAAATACACAAGAGAATCATCTTCTGGCTTGACTGAATTTGTAATAGAAGAGTGTGGGAGATCGGTCATAGTTGAGCCCAACTGGGAGGAGTCATCTTGTAGTGTCTGCAACAACTGGGCCAACTCATCTGGCTGGAAAGGCTGATCACCAGTGATCAGAGGAACCTCATTGTTGGACCTGTTTACAGCATCCAAGGGGAAAGCTGTTTTCCAGGCCCAACCATCAGAAGGCCAGATAGTGGAATCATTGCCTAGAGGTAACTCCAAATCCTTCAGCTCTAGGAATTCATCATTGGGGCTAGAACTATTAAGAAAATCTCCAACATTGGCATTAGATAACATATTTTCAACAAGCATTGGGCTATTTTGTTCTCCAGGATGAATATACTGAAGAAAATTAGAACAAAGACTTGGGTCATTCAAAATGTCCCCTGAATTTCCTTCTACGTCTTCAGAATGGCTGCTGGTGTTTGAAGTGTCAGAAACCGGCAAAACAACACTGCCATTCTCATTTTGACCAGCCAAGTCCTGAATTTGAGGGGAAAAGTGTGTTAGAAAAACTGGCATATTAGGTAAAGAAATGATCAGAGCAAAACAAAGAAATTACCCATAAAGCATAATCGCATGCGAATAAAGTAAAAAATAGTCCTGTATGGATAAATATAGTATGCTAAAGAATTATTAGGTTCAACAGAATTATAGCTTAGAATACATATATACTCCCTTCGTTCCTAAATATAAGTCTTTTTAGAGATCTCAATATGGACTACATACGGAGCAAAATGAGTGAATCTACACTCTAAACTGTGTCTATATACATCCGTATCTAGTCCATATTGGAATCTCTAAAGACTTATATTTAGGATCGGAGGGAGTATGTTTGATCATCTATGACACGCAGACCTTGTGAAGTTCAGTCTCGTCTGATCTTTTACTGGTTATAGAGTTTATGGCGGCGCTGACCATCCGAAAAGTCAAAAGATGGCGTTGGCATTTATTCCTCCATCCCAAATTACTTGTCATAGAAATGGATAAAAATGGATGTATCTAGAACTAAAATACATCTAGGTACATCTATTTCCCCGACATGTATTTCCGGACGGAGGGAGTATAAAGTTATTAAAGACAAAAAAGACAACACAGAATTACAACCTTTTTAGTGCTCATAGACCTGAATAGTGAATACTATGACATCATGACTCTTGTGTGTCATTATCTCATACTTGCTAGTTAACCCTGATAGAAATACAAAGATGTATGTCAAAAAGCCAATGCATGTCAGCAGTCTTGCTGGACAGCATGACATAGAATTCGTTAATGCAAAGTAAAACAAGCTAAATCCCAATGCTGAAAGAAGTGGAGCATCCCTGTGCAGAGAAAGATACAATAACTTAGATCCAACGTGACACAAAACATGCTCAGTAATATTATGAACCTTTTTCCTTGACAAATAAACCAACAACAGATTAGAATGAAACTATGTGCCATCAATCATCATTCTACAGATTTATGGGGAAAATATAAATATCCATTATTTCATTCACAAACCACTTTTTTCACTTCAAGTAAAAGATGGAACCGACGATGTGATAGCAAATTTTGTGAGCATACCAAATGCCAGGATTGTGGAAAAAAATTCTAACTCTGGCTATGAAAAGCGATCAACATCTCCCTTTGACCATGGATAATGCGAAGGCACCCAAAAAAATTCCAATGCTAAAGCGTGCAGAGAATGTCAAGAGAGGTCGGGGTAGACCGAATTTGACATGGGAGGAGTCCGTTAAGAGAGACCTAAAGGATTGGAGTATCACCAAAGAACTAGCTATGGACAGGGGTGCATGGAAGCTTGCTATCCATGTGCCAGAGCCATGAGTTGGTTGCGAGATCTTATTTGTTTCACCTCTAGCCTACCCCAACTTGTTTGGGACTAAAGGCTTTGTTTGTTGTTTGTTGCTAATGGCAAGGGAGCTGTCTTTTTGCAATTATTCTAATAACTGGTGTATAATACTATGTTTTTAAGGCGACGCCTTACCGCCTTAGGGAGGGGGAGCGCTTTGGCGCCTAGGCGGGCGCTTTGGACGCCTAGGCGCCCAAAGCGGTCGATTTTCCAAAGCGGAGGGGGAGCGCTTCGACACCTAGGCGTCACCTTAGGGACGCTTTAAAAACATAGTTATAATAGTTAATGAACATGGTCCCGGCACAAAGTACAGCTTCAAGAAGTCCATAAAACAGGAAAATCACTGATAAATGTGCTACTACATTATATTCGCCAAAATGAGGTGGTTGTTGACTATCAAGCAGCATACAACCAAATACAGTATCACAATGTTGAACATATTGTCCTAATAAGGTAATATATGGGATCGGCGGTATGTAGACGTTGCAGGACATATTTTTTGATATGGAAAGTGTATGACAAAGTCTTCCTGTTGTTACATGCTAGGGTAACTGTATAGTATTTATATGTAAGACTTTACAGTAAAAAAATTGTACATATAGGGGCAATATAAGAAAAGGTGTTGTAACCTGATAAAAAACTCATATGCTAATCAGTTAAACTAAGACAAGGGCATATATGGTGTTGAACCGGTATGGACCCTGCCCATCTATCTTAGGCCCATAGGGCCCAGCATATGTGCTAGACCTAGAAGAGGAGGAGCTGGGTGTTGTCTCCCAGAGAGCGCCGCCACCCACACACACAAACATGAGCTGGTACGCTACCCCTCCTGATTCTACATGGTATCAGACGCCAGGTTCGCCGGGGACCTGACAGACGGCGAGGCTGCGGGGTCCGGCACGGATCAGCGGCAGTCCTGTGAGCCGGAGAATAGGCTGCTGTGCGCGCGCGTGTGAGGCGGAGAAGCAGCTGCATTCGGCCCAGGGAAGGAAGAGGAGGAGGTGAGGCTGTACGCGGCGAGAAGGCAGCAGAGGAGGAACAGCAGATTTAGAGGAGGTTGGCTGTGCTGCTGCTGCTGCTGGGTGCAGGTGCTGACGGTGTTGTTGCTTGCTGCTGTACTCCTGCTGTTGCCTGCGTGGTAGGAAGATGTGTGTGCATGCTTGCTGGGGCTGCTGGTGTGTGGACATGGGAGCAGAGGTGCTTGCTGCTGCGACTGACTGGAGAGAGGCAGGAGAGGCAGGTCGTGTTGCTTGTTGCGGCTGACTGGAAAGGGAAGAGGAGGCAGTACTGAGGGTGTTGCCGGGACTACTGCTGCTGCTGCTGTGTGTGGCCAGGGGGAGAAGAAGGGTAAGTAGCTGCTGTGTGTAGTTGGTCAGAAAGATGGGTGAACCATAAGGACTTGCTGAGGCTGTCGAGCAGCTCACTCAGTTCCTCGCAGACTCGAACTACGGGGAAATCGTTCCTCAACAGGGAGTTGTCCAGAAGATCGAGTTGTCGCTCACGGACATCAACGTAGAGGAGGAAGGGTTGTGGTTTGCAAGTGGACATCTTGAGGTGGATGGTTAGAGTGATTTTAATCGGGCAAGTTGTCAAGATGATAGAAGTTCAACTTCAGGCTATTGTGTGTTTGTGGGAGGAAATTTGGTGTCATGGAGAAGCACGAAACAAACAGAGTTGTGTCTAGATCAACAGCAGAAGCTAAGTAAAGAGCATTATCTCAAGGGTTGAGTGAGATGCTCTGGGTGGAGAATCTACTGAGCGAGTTGAAACTTCTGAGGAAGGCCCTCCTGAGAGTGTGGTGTTACAATCAGTCAGCTATAAGCATTGCCAATGACCCGATTCAACATGATAGAACAAAACATGTGGAAATTGATCGCTTCTTCATTAAGGGAAAACTTGATGCTGGGATCATCGGCCTTACTCATGTCAGCTCTGGGTAACACGGGGGCCGGGAACAAGGACTGTAACTTGGCATGTGACAAGATGGGGCCAGGAACAAGGACTGTAACTTGGCATGTGACAAGATGGGGTTGATAGCTATCTACTACCACCCATCTTGAGGCGGAGTGTTGAACCGGTATGGGCCCTGCCCATATATCTAAGGCCCGTAGGGCGCATCCCATGTGCTAGACCTAGAAGAGGAGGTGTTCGGCATTGTCCCCCAGAGAGCGCCGACACACACACAAGAACACGAGCTGGTACGCTACCCCTCCTGACTGTACATATGGACTAGTGCGAGGAAATAGAACTGCATGTGTTATTATCTTCAGATTCAGAAGGCTAACAAATTCAGTGCCAACTCAAGCTGATCTATGTATAACTCAAACTGCAAGCATGCAACATAAACTGACTTTTATGCAGTATATCATTTTATACCCAACTAGACGCTTCTTTTACTAAAACAAGCAGTGAGTAGAAAATCATGCAAGTTGTAGGTATACCTGAATGAGATCATTCATCTGAAGATATCCTTTCTCCATAGCACCAGGAGCCTCATGCTCACCAAAAACGTCCCTCTGCACTGGCAGAGGACCAAAATCATCATCCTCATCCGCCTCCCACTCCTCCTCGACGAAGGGAGCTCCATACTGTGCCCCGTTTTGAGGACCAGGCCCAGCCTTCTGGAAGATTCGGCACACTACAAATGAATCCTGTGCGCAATGGTTTGAAAATCAGCATCGCTGTATTTGCATTCAAGCGTCATTAGCAACTAAAACAGAACATTGCCACCCTAGCGATCGAAAATTTTGCCCGTGACTCGCAGTAGCAAAAGACCTGGTACAGTCATAGCACAATGCCCACTGGGATCAGGTATGAAAAAAATCGATCGAAGTCTAATATCTACTTAATCCACAAGTCCATCGCCGGTGTCCAAAGTGGCAATACCTGTGGGATCCCGGCTGCGCCATCGCCCTCAAGGCGATACTCGTGCATGACCCAGTTGGTGCGCTCGCCCTTAGGCGCGCGGCCAGCGTGGAAGACGAGCGTCTTCTTCATCCCGACAACCCTAGCTCCATGGCGGACCTCCCTGTCCTTGCCGGTGGTCTTCCAGTAGCCTCCTGCAGTGGCGCGGTTGGTGCGCGCGCGGTTGGCGTGCTTGCGGTCGAGGCGGCTGAAGAAGTACCACTGGGAGTCGCGGCTGCGGAGGCGCGACCTTGCCGGGAGGTCCCATGGCTCGACCTTGTAGAGGTCTACCTCAGCGATGGCGTCGACCTTGAGCGGGCGACCGAGCACCTTGCGCTTGAGGTAGTAGGAGACGAGCTCCTCGTCTGTTGGGTGGAAGCGGAAGCCCGGGGCAAGGGAGGTCGGGTCATCCGGCGCGGCCGCCGGGGCGGAGGAGGAGGACGAGGAAGGGTGGGTCATGTACCTGAGGAGGCTTAGGGTTCCAGGAGAGGAGAGGGAAGATTGGATTGGGAGATTGGATTGGGGAAAGTTTTGGAGGGGGGTGTCTCTCTCCGGGAAGAAGGGATGGCTTGGGCTATAAGAAAGAACAGGGGCGTTTTCGGGACATCCTCTGCCGGGTTCACCGTCGCGGCAATTTTGCAAAAACATCCTTATCTTTTCTGATAATTGAACCCGCCGTCCCTTTCTAAATGGATCTGGAAAAACGTTTCATTTTTGCACAAAACTCCCCGTATTTTAGTATATTCAACCAGTGGTCCTTTTTAGAGTGGAATTGAATACACACGGCTTCCTTCGGTGCTCCTCGATCTATACGGTATGGCGCCGCCGCCAGCCGCCGGTCTTCTTCTCCAGCCGTCCGCGCCCTGTTTTCCTTCCCCTCCATATCCGCTCCTAATCTTCTCCGGCGTCTCCCGCAGCCTCCTCAATCTCCAACCTCTTACTCCAATGTGGTTCTTCTCTGATTTGGATCGAGTTGGAGTCCGTCTCCAACACAAAACCATGGAGTGCCCGACCCGGATTGGTCTTGGTGGCCATAAGAAGGAAGGATGCTCCGTCGTTTGCCTACCTTGCATCTTCTGATGAAGACATGAATATCATTGTTACACCCACAGCCCCTGCTGCTATACATACTAGACCAATTACTAGAGCTCGCGCACGCCAATTGAATTATCAGGTACTTTCGTTTCTTGGTAACGATTCTAATATTCATGAGAATATGATGCTGTCTAAATTGGATACATTTGTTTTGAATACAAATGAAGGGCCTAGCTTGGACAAGAAAGATGAACCTTGGAGCAAGTTCAAGCATGTAGATGATGGCATGCGCAAGGGGAACAAGAACGGAGTTACAAGTGATGATTCCAGGACTCTAAAGCCACCATAATGATCATGGGACGAAATATACAAGATGTCACTTCATAAATTTCGTCCAGAGGCTATTTTAGGTGTTGCGTCACCTTATTATTGGGCCAGGCCCATGTATTTTCGAAGTACTTAAGTATAGGTTGTTTTTAGATCCGTATGTGTGGGGAAACAAGAGTTAGGGTTGGTTTCGGACCCCTCCACCAAGGGCCACGAAATTCCCCCTCTCTCCTCCATATATATAGCCCTTAGGGCATCGTTTAGACTTTGGGTTTTGTTTAGATTAAAAGTTCGCCATAGATACAACTTCGCATACTTCGTTTGTGTCCAACGACCAGACCAAGATGTCACAAAACCCCACCTTCATTAATAAAGCTTTCCTCTTATATTCGCAATATCCAGATTGCAATCTTAGTTTCTTGCTTGTTCTTCGTTTGCTCGCAGGAAACAGGCCCTCGTGGTCAGGTTGATCGTGCTCCGGCGTGGTCAATAACCCTCGAAAGTTGGTTTAGCGATTGCTAAGGCGCGACATCTCGCACGTTCGTAGTCGGATCGTCAAGGTCGACTCCCACAGAAAATGATAGCCACCTTCTCATCAAAACATCGGGACACCTTTGCCTCTATCAAGTGGTATCAGATTTCCAGGTTGCTCGGTGAGATTTTATAGTTTTTCGTAGTTTAGATCGAGTCTATTCTTCGTACCTATAGTCCACGAAAAAGCTAAAAAAATTAGGGTTAGTTCATCCTATCCGAACCAATCTGAGCCTTTGCATAATCTTTTCTGTATTTGCTTTGTTGAATTTGCGGTTGCATCGTCGTGTCAAGTTGCTGATCTTGGCGTCTAGTCCTTTAGAGTTTCGAGTTCTGTTCATAGGTTGTCACGTCGCCGCTGCCATATATCACCACCGCATCATCATCATCGCTGCTGCCATATACCACCACCATACCAACTTCATCGTTGTTGCCATATTCACCACCACATATTCACCATCAATCCGCGTCCATATACGCCACCACATATCCGCCGCCATCACGCCAATCCGAGTCCACCTGCAACATATATCCGCCACCAGTCCGATTTCCACCAGATTCATCGCCGCCACCGGTCCGAGATTCCACCAGATTCATCTCCGCCACCAGTCCGAGTCCAGTAATTGTTGCATTGTTTTCGATTTCCGGATCACGCGATACTTCGAGTCGTGACAGAATAGGACTCCTGAGATTCCGAGCTACCCGCAGAAGAAAAATAGTTCCAAACTAAAAAAACTAAGTCTGGAAAATTCTGGCTAGGCAGTTTTTAGACCATTTGTAGACTTTTTCGAAAAAAATTGTTGCGGAGCAAAAAAAGAGAGGAAAAAAGTGCAAAAAAAAGTGAAAAAAGGAAAAAAAATCAAAGACTGCTCCTCCCTTGTTTACGTGCAGCGCCGTGATTTTGTTAGTGTTCTAGGCTCACGTCTCTAGCACGGTCTAGCCTAGGATCAGCACAGTACCGTCGTTGAGCGTTTATTCAACATTGCATCTCTGAATTGATTATTGCTGACCCTTTTTGCTACCATGTTATAAGCCTTCCCAGCTCCACATATGATAGAGGCGAGGGTCCCGATGTTTCGATGAGATGGTGGCTATCGTTTTCTGTGGGAGTCGACTTTGACGATCCGACTACGAACGTGCGAGACGTCGCGCCTTAGCAATCGCTAAACCAACTTCCGAGGGTTATTGACCACGCCGGAGCATAATCAACCTGACCACGAGGGTTTGTTTCCTGCGAGCAAACGAAGAACAAGCAAGAAACTGAGATTGCAATCTGGATATTGCGAATATAAGATGAAAGCTTTATTGATCAAGGTGGGGTTCTGTGACGTCTTGGTCTGGTCGTTGGACACAAACGAAGTACGCGAAGTTGCAGCTATGGCGAACTTTTGATCTAAACAAAACCCAAAGTCTAAACGACGCCCTAAGGGATGTATATATGGAGGAAGAGGGGGGAATTTCGTGGCCCTTGAGGGTGGGGTCCGAAACCAACCCTAACTCTTGTTTCCCCACACATACGGACTCTAAAAATAGCCTATACTTAAGTATTTCAAAATTACATGGGCCTGGCCCATTAATAAGGTGACGCAGCACCTAGAATAGCCTATGGACGAATATTATGAAGTGGCATCTTGTATATTTTGTCCAAGGCTTCATGCACTCCTTATGGCGGCTTTAAAGTCCTGAAATCATCACTTGTAACTCCGTTCTTGATCCCCTTGCGCATGCCATCAACTCCATGTGTGTTCTTGCTCCAATGTTCATCCTTCTCCAAGCTAGGCCCTTCATTTGTAAGCAAAACAAATGTATCCAATTTAGGCAGCATCATAATCTCATGAACATTAGAATCATTACCAAGAAACGAAAGTACCTGGTAATTTAATTGGCGTGCGCGAGCTCTAGTAATTGGTCCAATATATGTAACAGTAGGGGCTGTGGGTGTAACAATGGTATTGATGTCCTCATCATCCTCCCCTTCTTGAAATGAAGTTGTCCTCGACGGAAGCGCATCTTCCTCACCCAAATAAGGCTTCAAATCTGCAATGTTAAAAGTGGGACTAACCCCAAAATCTACAGGTAGCTCAAGTTTATATGCATTATCATTTATTTTCTCTAACACCTTAAAAGGACCATCAGCACGTGGCATTAGCTTTGATTTGCGCAGATTAGGAAATCTATCTTTACGCAAATGTAACCAAACAAGATCTCCAGGCGCAAACACAACATGTTTTCTACCCTTATCTCCAGCAAGTTTATATTTAGCATTCATACGCTCAATGTTTTCCTTAGTTAACTCATGCATTTTTAAAATCAATTCAGAACGTTCTTTAGCATCAAAATTAACCTTCTCTGAAGATGGAAGAGGCAACAAATCAATAGGTGCACGAGGTAGGAAACCATACACAATTTCAAAAGGGCACATCTTAGTAGTAGAATGCAATGAACGATTATAAGCAAATTCAATATGAGGCAAGCATTCTTCCCACATTTTCTTGTTATTCTCCAAAATAGCCCTAAGCATAGTAGACAATGTTCTATTGACTACTTCAGTTTGTCCATCAGTTTGGGGGTGACAAGTAGTACTAAAAAGCAGCTTAGTCCCCAACTTAGCCCATAAACATCTCCAAAAGTGGCTAAGAAATTTAGTATCACGATCTGAAACAATAGTATTTGGCACACCATGTAAGCGAATAATTTCACGAAAGAACAAATCAGCAACATTAACAGCATCATCGCTTTTATGACATGGTATAAAGTGTGCCATTTTCGAGAACCTATCCATGACAACAAATATGCTATCCCTCCCCTTCTTTGTTCGAGGTAAACCTAAAACAAAGTCCATAGATATATCCTCCCAAGGAACACTAGGTACAGGCAAAGGCATATATAAACCATGAGGATTGAGTCGTGACTTAGATTTTTGACATGTTGTGCAGCGAGCAACAAAACGCTCAACATCCCGTCTCATCTTTGGCCAAAAGAAATGTGTAGCAAGTATATCCTCCGTCTTCTTGACGCCAAAGTGTCCCATTAATCCTCCTCCATGCGCCTCTTGCAACAGCAAAAGACGAACGGAGCTAGCTGGAATGCATAGCTTGTTAGCACGAAACACAAATCCATCGTTAAGAACGAACTTGTTCCAAGTTCTCCCTTCCTTACAATTCTGCAATACATCTTTAAATTCAGCATCATGAACATATTGATCTTTGATGGTCTCCAAACCAAATATTTTAAAGTCAAGTTGTGAAAGCATAGTATAACGACGAGACAAGGCATCAGCAATAACATTTTCTTTACCCTTCTTGTGGTTAATGACATAAGGGAAAGTCTCAATGAATTCAACCCATTTAGCATGTCTACGGTTCAGTTTTGCTTGACTTTTAATGTGTTTCAAAGATTCATGATCAGAATGTATAACAAATTCCTTGGGCCATAAATAATGTTGCCATGTTTCTAAGGTCCGAACAAGAGCATATAATTCTTTATCATAAGTAGAATAGTTCAGACTAGGCCCACTCAATTTTTCAGAAAAGTATGCAACAGGTTTTCCATCTTGTAATAACACA